ATCTTTTTCAAAAATCTTTGTTTTTTTCGTTCGTCTGAAATGCCGTTCGGCGGTCTCGCACGTTCCTCTAGATTCTTGCATTGCTAGCCTTTTGTTACCGGTTCTTCTCTAGATCAGCGATTTTACAGAGACTTCTGGCCGAATCTGCTCGCTTGAAAGAAGCCTATCCAGGTGGAAATGCTGAGCATATCGCCCAGCAGCAGGTTGAACTGGCTGAAAGCTGGCAGGATCTACTGAATGCCATTGAAGACAGACGTGATGAGCTGCGTGCAGCCAGGGATATGCATCGGTATAAATAGCTTACCTATATTGGAAGAGCTCTCTGTACGATTGTCGTTTCCAGTTTTAACGCTGATGTTCGTGATCTACTTGCATGGGCTGACATCACAATTGCTGATATGCAAACTGAAATGCAGGTGAGGACCAGTACAAGCATGGTCAAAAACTCATAATTTCTGGCACCATGACTAATTTTGTCTTCCTTATCAGGTTAATGGCTTGCAACAAGCTGAGGCTTTGCAAAAAGAACATTCGCGACTTCGTGGCGAGATCGCTGCCAGGGCACCTGAATTCGAGAAAGTCGCGCGTTCAGGAGATGCAATGATCCAGCGTGGACATTTCGATAAAGTGAATATCGCCAAGAAAGTGCACCAGGTATGTTCTTAAACTTCGAACATCGTTTATACGATCAATCCTACTCGAAAACACTTTTCTATCAGCGGATCTTTAGGTCACAACGGCTCTAGAACGACTACAATCAGAATGGGATCTTCGCGAAAGTTATCTAGTACAGTTGGTCCAATGGCATGCTCTTCAACAAGAAGCCAACCAGATTCTTACCCTTATTGCAAGCAAGAGAGCTACCTTGCGGTAAGAGAGATACACCCTTTTGTCTAATTACCGAATATTACTATCCGCTTCTATTTCCAGCCAGCTAGCCGTTGGAGGTAGCGTCGCCGATGTTGAAGGTCAGCAAAAACGTCTGGACACGTTTGCTAAGGCGCTTTCGACTTTGGATGAGCGAACAAAGGTGAAAACTTATCTTCTTCATTTTGTTTCATGTTTGAGTTTCCCTGCAGGCCTTGGACCGAACTGCAAATGAACTTATTGCCAACAATCATATGGAAAAGAACAACATCGAAATGTCGAAAAAGAAGGTATATTTGATGCCCCGAAATAGCAATTCTCATGACCCCTCGTATAGGTGCACGACGCACTTTCTCTACTTCACAATGACGTGGAACAGCGTCATCTTCTATTGAATGATGCATTTATGGTGGCTACATTCGATCGTGACGTAGCTGACACTGAAGCTTGGATTGATGACAAACTCAAAAAGTAGAGTCATTACAAGTTCTCATTTTTTACTGCAAGTTTCTTCTTCATTTAGCATCCGTCTCGAGAAGGAACGACAGGGACAATGCACTACGATTGAAGACAAGATGAGACGTCTACAGAAACACCAGGCACTGGAAGCAGAGCTGGCAGCTAATCGTAAACGCATTGACCAAGTTCTACAGCGCGGAAAAGAGTTGCAGTTGAAGCATCGTGATGCTGGAGTGAGTTTTGGAATTTCTTCCCATTCGTCTTTTTCGTCTTTCTTTATCATTGCAATTTGATCCAAAAGTTTTTTCATCCTTAAAAGTTGAAAGCAGCGTCGCAAAGTGAGTTCTGAGATTTCACAGCGTGGCAATAGTAGACCCCCCCCCCCC